AACTATTATGTGTAATAAAGAAGGCAAGTTATGCAGTCTAATTATTCCTTGGAAACCAAAACAAGATACTTCAAATCTGTGCTGTGGGCAAACAAACACACTGGGGTCAGTGGTGGAATTCAAATAATTCAATAATCTAACAATGATTCGCTGTCCTGATGACCATTTTAAGTATTAAAAAATGATACATGAAAGGTAGTTGATTTTTCAATACAGCTAATACTTAAATAAGCCCAATAAAAGAGATACACAAAACTAGATTATGCTATAAGTTTTAAAATATTAACGAAAAAACATTAACCATATCTGACAAAACAATAAAACTGTTATTTAAGCTATTTTTGTATTGATTCTTAATTGGCGTCCTCACTTGCCACAGTCTTTACTTTTATCTGAACATCATTGGCTGTGTGATGTGTCCTTACCCATGTTTACACTGTAGGCGTAGAATCCCATTCCTTTAGAAGTAAACCATTAGTTAATCGGTGTTTGATATATTAGAAACAGGTGACGTCTCTGCTCTGAACATATTATGATCATATTTGAAAAGTGCCTTTCCACTGTGATGGAATTTATAGTAATTATTCTGACAACTTTTTAGCTCTTTGAACACTTTCAGGAATTGCATGATTCATTCACAATATCTCATGGGAATTGGGGCATACCATAAAGCTGAAATGAATGATCATGTGTCACCTCCTGGTTGTTTGGCAATTCTTCTCTTTACATTATATGTTTGTTTACTGAAGTAACAGTGCAAAAGAATAAAAATATAGTATTTCATCAAAAGTATAAAGAGTTCTATGAAATGAATAAATAAATATGACAAGCATCGTTCTCTTTAATTTCTTTATAATTATGGATGGAATGACTACTTCTATGGACACTGAGAAGCTGCTGTTGCTCAGATGAACATTAAGACCAGTAAGGAATGGAAATTTGTGATTTCCACATTTGGCCTTCCACCTTAGAGAAAATCCTGGTTTGCCATAGCAACAAAAAAATTAGGTATCGGTACTGTCAAACTGGTGTGGGCTGAGTCTCACCACTGACTGGGGCAGCACACATTCTGACCACTAAAAAGTGAGCACCATCCATTACACAAAGCCTCAGCTTATAATTCAGCTTCCTTTATTAGAGATGATTTTGTTTAAGTCCATTTAGTCTTTCTCAAAAACATCTGACTTCCTTATCAAGATATATGAGTATAAATAGGTGAGTTATGACTCTGAACGTGGAATTTATCTCATTAATCCCCAATAAGACTTTCTCTTTGCAGGCACTCTACTGTTATTAGTGGAATTAATAAAAATAAAGTTA